GATCCTTTCATAATATTTTTTCCCCAAATACAGTGCCACTGGGAATGGAAACCTCGGATATACCAGGATTATATTCTACAATGCACACTCCAAATACCATAACAGCTCACTGACGCATTACAACATAAAGATTCTTTGTGGTTAAAATAAGCTGTAATAGAGAATGGCCCTCAATGCCGCTTTTATCATCAGAATTCCGATTACAGGCAGATATTTTGGTTCAGTGGATCAAAAGCAGAAGAAACAAACCTCACCTTACAGGCATTGACAGGGTTAACATAGGACTCTACAAACTCACCACCACCAGAAAGGGTTAACTAGCCCATACACCGTCTGACACAGAAAGGCTCACAAGTCCCGACTAATAGGTTACACACGTTGGCACAATGTACCACGCAGACCGCCAATAGACGCTTACAGACAGTGAATATGGTGTCTAAACCCCTTTCAATAGCCAGCACGGTCACCACATTACTGCATATGGAATAAAATGGGGAGAGTATTCAAACAATAATTAAAGGACCACTATAGTGCCAGGAAAACATACTCGTTTTCCTGGCACTATAGTGCCCTGAGGGTGCCCCCACCCTCAGGGTCCCCCTCCTACCCGGCTCTGGAAAGGGGAAAAGGGGTGAAACTTACCTTTTTCCAGCGCTGGGCGGAGAGCTCTCCTCCTCCGATCCTCCTCTTCTCTTCCCCGTCGGCTGGCTGCGCGCGCATTCATAATGCTTTCCTATGGACACTTGCGTGCACTCACTGTGAAAATCACAGTGAGAAGCACGCAAGCGCCTCTAGCGGCTGTCAATGAGACAGCCACTAGAGGATTAGGGGGAAGGCTTAACCCATTAATAAACATAGCAGTTTCTCTGAAAATGCTATGTTTATGAAAAAATGGGTTAACCCTAGCTGGACCTGGCACCCAGACCACTTCATTAAGCTGAAGTGGTCTGGGTGCCTAGAGTGGTCCTTTAAACTTGTCACAAGCGTACGTGGAATCAATCCTAACTTATAAATAAAGAGAAAGACCATAGGGTAATATAGTTACACACTAGGGCATGGGTAGGCAACCTATGGCATGTGTGCCATGTACGGTACTCAAGGCTGCTACAACCAAACAGGCTCTGGCCTATCAGGAGTCCCAGGGAAACTTCAGATATCTCCTAATACGAAAAGGTGGTGAAGGACAATCCTCAATTAATGCATTGCATCACATAGAGGAATTTATCGGAGATCACTTCTTCCTAGCACTTGTGAATGGGAATCCACACTGGAGCACAGCAGCCCGCAGCTGATGTTGCAGTTCCTGTCCTTGACCGGTACCTGGCCAGCCTGGTCCCCACTGGAACCCAGGGAAGTCACCCACACTGCTAGATATACACAGAAATGCAGAACAGCGCTCCCCCTCATACAAATAATACGAACAACCCACACATAATCCGCAACACCACTAACAATCCACATACATGCACACAACCCCACATGCAATACCCCAAACAGCCCCACACATACACACACTACCAAACACACAACGTGACATATCCATCCACACACACACAATTCTACAAGAAGCCCCCATACACAGCCAAAATTCATAGGGACACGATACCACAAACTACTCATGAGCATATACAATATAATAACTCATATACGCACAAATACAACAATACAAAGCAACTGCATTATAAATAACAAGCAGAATACGGCAACATACACACCTCAATTTACAAAAATAGGACGTGCACGCTATGGGACATCACAATCCTATTTTGGCACAGTGCTACGCGCTGCACCTGCGCTATGGTATAAAGACACACTACCGGCCCAACTCACATGCTGCTGAGCCACTTAAAAAGCTGGCTCAGACTAGAAGCTTTAAGCGGAGGGTACAGTGGTTACAGTGGATCATTGTTAAAAACTGGATTACTTCCAATTAGTGTGAGGTAAAAACACGATTTATTGGGTTAGCATTAAAAGCCAACACATACAAAAACAAGGAAAGTCCACGTGTCACTTTTACGTAGCTCAGCAGCATGTGAGTTGGACCAGTAGTCTGTCTTTATACCAGAGTGAGGAATGCATTACCCTGTGGTCTCTCTCTTTATTAATA